GAGAGTGAGAGAGTGAGAGAGTGAGAGAGTGAGAGAGTGAGAGAGTGAGAGAGAGAGAGAGTGAGTGAGTGAGTGAAGAGGGAGTGAGAGTGAGAGGGAGTGAGAGTGAGAGTGAGTGCGGAGGTTCACAAAATACTGCGCCTGCCACAAAATCTGTGTTTCGAGGTTCACAAGTGACTGTGCCTGCCACGAAATCTGCACTTGGAGGTTCACCAAGTGCTGTGCCTGCCACGAAATCTGCACTTCGAGGTTCACCAAGTGGTGTACCTGCCGCGAAATCTGCACTTCGAGGTTCACCACGCGCTGTGCCTGCCACGAAATCTGCATTTCGAGGTTGACAAAGTGCTGGCCTGCCACGAAATCTGCACTTCGAGGTTCACAAAGTGCTGCGCCTGCCACGAAATCTGCACTTCGAGGTTCACAAAGCGCTGCGCCTGCCACGAAATCTGCACTTCGAGGTTCACAAAGTGCTGCGCCGGCCACAAAATCTGCACTTCGAGGTTCACAAAGTGCTGTGCCTGCCACGAGATCTGCACTTGAAGGTTCACTAAGCGCTGTGCCTGCCACGAAATCTGCACACCAAGTGCTGTGAACGCCACCAAATCTGCACTTCGAGGGTCACAAAGTGCCGTGCCTGCCAAGCAGTCTGCACATCGAGAGTCATAGAGTGCTGTGCCTGCCACGAAATCTGCAAACGAGCCACATGTCCAAAAGTCAGGATTCACTGCACCTGTCACGAAATCTGAGCTCCTCGGCGATCACCACCATGTCCAAAGTGCTGCACCTGCCACGAAATCTGCAATTCGAAGTAAGACAGCTCCAATCCATTGCACCTGTCACGAAAAGTCGACAAAGCACGAGGCTTTCCTTGCGCCTGCCACGAAAAGTGACCACCATGTGCGAAAATGCGCACGGCGCAGTCACTAGAAGCACCCGCCGCCGGCCCCCAGATTCAGCGAGCCTGCGCAGTCAAAATGCACATTGACGATGTCGAGAGGCATGAATGTACTGTAAATAGCAGCGAATTAGCGGGTCACGGCCGCGCGCTTCAGCGATCTAAGCATCAGCTGCTTTTCACTCAAGGTAAGAACCCCTAGTGTGTCCCCAGCTGCTTTTCACTTACCGTAAGAACCCCTCAGTGTGCCCACACTGTTTGGGGAACATAGGGATTGGAATTCGAGGGGTGCGGCTGTGTCACCTAGACCCACCCAGGAAAACACAGTGGGAAATTCACATCCCTATGAAAAAGAACAACGCAATTTGAGTCAACAAGGAACTCACCGCCCCGTTCCGAGAGGCTCAGCCGTCGGCGAGAAACGGGTGAAGAGGCCGAGGTGTTCTGCGAACCTAGAATGTTCAACAACCATAGCCCATAGCCCTAATGGTCTGAATCCCAAGCAACCATTGTTTTAAAGCCGGTGAGCCTTTCTTTTAAGGGTTTCCGAAGCTCTTTGAAGGCTAGGGAAACTGTTCTTGTCAGAACAGCATACGCTCTGACAGCTTCCAGGGAAGAAAAGGAACACGCGAAGCACAGAGGGGAAGAAAGAAACAAAACATCGAACATGGACACAGGAGCTTGAGCCCGTCAATCAATCAGGCACTAAGTCTGCCTCACAGTCCCCTATGCACCGCCAAGGCACTCCCATATTTCCACAGAAGAAGCCGTCCAACGCTCGAGCAGCGAAGATTGTTGGCAGGGTGGTGCCCAAGCCTGTCGACGTGACAACAAGTGTGATCAAGAAGGAACTAGCAACAAACTCCGTGTTCAGGAGAAAAGGTTTCGCAGCTTCACGCTGACATGTCTCTTCTGCTGCCCTGGCATTCTGAAAAGACCCCTTTTCAACCACAAAAAGGAACTATGGAATATCTCCACAAAAGCCGCACCGATCACGCTGGCGCAACATATTGCCCACCCATCCCGTTGCACCAAGAAGCAGTCTTGCTCCCAAGCTCGCGGCCACAAACTCCCACTCAGATCAAAAGCTTTGAACCCCAAATCTCCAACCGCCAGTCCTCTGAACAGCCCGGTGTCTATTTTTGGTCACGTGGTCACGTGGTCACCTCATGGTCCACATGCTCGGCCTTCCTCCGGCCTTCGCTCGGTCGACCCGAAAACGTGGTCTTCAACGCCGAGCGGCCAAACATGATGGGCGCAATCACCGAGCCGCCCAGGCCCACGAGGAGTGCAGGCCTGTCTCGGCGATCTCGCCCCGAACTGGTCGGAGGGTCTTTCGAACGCAATGAGCAGTGGTGCAACGCGCGGGGTCGAACAGTGGTAGCGTAAACGTGCGAAACCAGGTTGCTGATAGAAACTTGGAGGTCAAGAGTGTTTTAGCTTTCACAGGTAAGGAGACCCACAAGTCTAAGGTGTCCTACTAGTACAATTACAAGAAACGGCTGTTTCAGGATCCTTCCCCAAAAAAGAATACGAGACACGCTAACCTGGGAACCGACACCCGGCCAGAGACCGATACGTGAGCCAGCGGAGTTTCAGTTCTTCAACGCGTTCTCTCCACAAGTTGCAAGGAATACTGCACACACCCAGGCTCAACGGATTTGCATGCTGCTTGGCTCTATTTCAACAACTCTGGATGGTGGACTGGAGATGTCCATGAACACCAACTTCCACTGGAAAACCTCTGCCGCCGAGGGCGCTTGCGCCCCACTTTGTCGGCCAACGTGCCCCAGAAGGGCGAGAAGACCACCTGCGTCGTCGCGGGCGCGGTGTCCGAAACACCGGAGTGAGTCGGTTTGCGGACTCTTTCCATCCTCCCCCCAGTTTTCAGCCTCCTCTCAATCACTGCCCATGGGATAGCAAGTTCAACCAGTCAGACTGACTTACAGGCATCTGATAAGGCATCTGAGTCGTTTTGTGTCATTTTTTCGGAGGTGGAAGAGCCTATGTCCCATGTCTCTGGTGCACTGACATCACATGCGAGATCCGAATCACCCAAACTGCCTTGAAATCTTATGGCCCGCTTGTTCCCTGTAGTAGATTTGCAGATGTCTTACACATACAGATTGTGCTGTAGAGAAAGTCTGACATGTTGACCTTTTCACATGTTTGATGCTGGGGTTTACAAAAGCAATAATAACTATTGCTATTGTTATGGTATACTGCAACTTCTGATTCTGAATCTATTTCCTGTTGTGGCAAAGAAAAAGGGAAAGCTTCCTGCCTAGACTCACTTGCAATATCCACACTAATTTGATGCACACAATTCAAAGCCAACCTCGCAAAGAGAGTACAGCCCGATCAGCATACCAACCTTGGAAACAAGCACGGCAGCTCAAGTCTGATGGATAGCAAACCCTGACCTCCACTTGACACCTTGTATCCCTGCTCTGTTCCCAAGCCTTAAGCTTATTGCAAACTGCCCCCAAAAGAAAAGAACATACAAGGGCACAAGAGACAAATTGCTACGAACATGACTGCTCAGCACACATATTATAAAGTCCTGCCATATCATTTTGCCTGTTCAGCGAACTTGTTCGGAGAAGCAAAAACGAAACGTTCAACAACCGCAGTCAGCACCTGTTTGCCTGGGAAAAAGACTCCTGTCCGGGCCGGGCGGCTGGAATGGAACCAACAATTTCCAGCAACAAACTGAATTCTCCATTTGCCAGAACCAACCTCAAACAACAACCACTAAGACTACCCAGCCCATGTTCTCTTTGCCATCACCAGGATGTTTCCACCATCTAAGGAACCCTGTTTTTTGCATTCAAGAAGAAAGCGACCTAAGGAAACCACGGCCGCTTACGCTGCGGTCGAAACAAGAAAAGACATGATGGATTTGGTGGAGACCTCACCACGAGGACGCCCTTTGCACCCAAGAAACCGTATGTGCCACAGCAGGGCTTTGAGGGCTTTGTTGCAGAAGTGTGGAGACCATCTTGTCCACATAGGGCGTCAAAAGGTTGACGTTAATGCAGTCCTCAGCCAGGAAACTCCAATTTGTCTTTAACAGAAACCCATGCACAAAGAGTCCAAACCTCGTCTGATTCTTCCAGAAGAGTTGATTCTATATGAATATGTTCTACGCACCTCGTCTTCCAATGTGCCGAGCCTGCCCAAATGCAAAAAAGATCCACAAAACCCGAAGCACTGTTTGCTGTCTCAACCCAAGCATCAATCAAATTCATCGCGCCCAGCACGAAGAGGGTCTTCCGCGTGAGCTGAGGTTTACGGTGTTGGGGCTCCTGCGGGTCCAGCTCATACCCATTCGCGTGCAAACCATATGGACAGAGGCCCCAAAACGTCCTAAGAAGAGAGATACTTGAGTAAAACACGTTGGTCGCATTCAAAACCACTTGCCTTCCATTGAACTGTGCAAAACCGATTCAGTGTCAAATCAAACGTCGGTATTGCCAATCCTCACCACACGCATTCTCCGGAGCCATGATTGGCACAAAAAAAGGTACGTTTTTTCACGTACAGAGTTGGGCACACTCAATCCCTGCTGCGTTCGCCGACAATTTACATGATTTCCTAGCAAGGTTGAGACCATTTGAATATCACAACACACCTGCGCCACACCGATCGTGTTGGTGTTTGCCCAAATACCAAGCATCCGTAGGCATCCGTTCATGATTTGACTCTGGCATTCACCAAGCTGGAGCAAAAGCAAGCGTAGCGGTGCACCCAAAAGGTCGTTAAACGGTGGATTGATGAGTGGTTTGTGCAATTCAAGACGGTCAAATGAAAAATAAACGTGAACGTTCACAGGCATGGTTTCTTCCATTCAGTTGTCAGCATCTTGCTTCGTTCCGGGTGGAAACCGTGTCAAGTTGTGGTCCACATCATGTTTTTTTGCCAAGACCATCGTTAGTCGTGAATGGCGCAAATCCGTCGAAGTACATCCATGAAATCAACGTTGTTGCGGGATAAATGTCCAATATCACCTTTGTGGCAAAAAGGTACCACTATGACACCATGATGAGCAATTGAAAAACCTTCACCCAAACCCAGTAGATCAATCATAACTCGTCTATGGCTGAAAATATTGAAAATTTGTTGCTCCAAAAAGAGAACTTTAACTTTCTACCGTTTGGTCACGCACTTGCAAGAACACTCGACGGTCTCAGAGCAGCCAGGGTTAGCTCGACAAGGCCAATTTCAATGTCAGAAGTGGCGTGCGAGGGCCAACCCGCGGTGCCAGACATGAAGCAATGTCATGCGCTAAGTTGGCTGGCTATCAATCTAATGGCAAAACCACATTTTTCGTCAGTCACTCCAGCAAAGGAACGCTGAAAAACATGTTGGCATTGGATTGGAGTGGAACCATCAAACTATTGACACCAAAACTCTGCACATGGTTGGATTTGGAGGTTTGCTTTACATGCAAGCGTCCAATGTTTGGCAAAGTCCCAATCTTAGTGACACGACACGCAGCGATCACTACACTTTGACATTGCGCATAACCATGCTTGAACTGTTTGACAAACCCGCCCGCACCGAAGTTGCCGAGGCGTTTTTATAGGGCACGCATTATACCGCAAGTACCGCAAGTACTAATAGCTTTAGCTAGCGGGGGGCATTTTCGCTCTAGAACGCTGTGTTTTTTCATGTTTTTAGAATCGGCTTAAAGTGCTGGAAGATAAATTTGGGTTAATTTTTGCTATCTTGAAGCCTTTAGTGATGCAAGGAATGCCATTTTCTGCTTTGCATCATCTGCATCATCTGAGCGGTAAAGTGCGCTAGAAGTCATTATCTAACGGACGTGTCTGCGAGATAGGGACTTGAACGTCCGGGTACGTGGCTGGTCAGGAGCAGAGATAAGGAAAGATAAGGTCAGGAGCAGACTCACGAGCCTAGCTCCCATACGGTCGGACATAACTCCAGAACTCACTATCTCAAGTATGCTTCGCCGAGATGGGTACTTGAACGTCGTAAACATGGCCCAACGAAGGCTCCAAAGGGACTGGAATAGAGTGAAGATATTGCTTCACATAGCGCTAGAAGTCACTATCTAAAGGACGTGTCTGCGAGATAGGGACTTGAACGTCGTAAACTGGAATAAAAAAACCCTCCTAACGTGGCCAAACATAGCTTCCATATTGCCTGGCATAGCTTTAGAAGTGATATTTGGCTCGACAAAAGCAGAGATAAACAGAGATCAAGTTCAGGAACGGTAACATTTTCGCGCGAGCAGAGCGTGCATATGATCGAACATAGCCCCAGAAGTCACTATTATCTAACGGACGTGTCTGCGAGATAGGGACTTGAACGTCCGGGTACGTGGCTGGTCAGGAGCAGAGATAAGGAAAGATAAGGTTCAGGAATGGTAACATTTTCTCACGAGCGTAGCTTCTATATTCGGCCACGTTGGGGGGGGGCCGTTCTGGGGCTATGTTCGACAATATGGAAACTATGTCGGGCCACGTTAGGAAAACCGTTACCGTTAATTGACCTTATCTCTGCTTATCTCTGCTCCTGTTGAGCCGAATTGCGCGATCTTGAGCTACCTTGAGAAAAGATACCTCTATTTGCGACGTTCAAGTCCCTATCTTCCTTTCATATTGACTCCCTTGGCTCCAAGAGCACAAGACCCCGTTACAGATCGTGTTCCTTACTGCAGCTCTCTCGGTAGCAGTCTTTTAACCCCCCAAGTACATTGGGCCATGTTAAATCCCTATCTCGAAACATGAACGGGGGGGGGTCACTTCCCGGGCTATGTTCGGTGGAAATATTGTCCCCTTCCATGCGGTGCGGGCGGTTACCGTCGCGAAGCGACGTGAATAAACTCAGGACCGTTTGGAACCAACGGCAGCTGCTACGACTGCTCCGAAGAGTTGCTTGCATAGCAAAGTGCAAGTTAAATGCGCTTCTACAGTGCTATTCTTGGGTGGGTAGTGTTGAAAGCCTCGCAGGTTGACTGCACCTGCCTATGCTTTGCTACACCAGTGGCACGCGATCGAGAACTGCAGAAGCATGTCAAAACCCAGAACCTCCTAAGTCCACTCACTGCCTTTGATGTATATGTACACAGGCGGCACCGTCGACTCAACGGAGTACATCTACAAACTCGCTGCAATGTGATCCATCAGCTGAGCAGAAAGTCGGAAAAACTCACTAGCTTTACAAGAAGATGAATGGCACAGCTTGACAACATCACAAAAAAACAAGTACGTTTTCACGGCCGCTTGGATGGGTCTTCGTTGGCCCATGCCATCCAAGTGCCCATGGGCCCCTGCTGCTTGGCTGCTCTCAGGAAAACATGCGTTAACTCTGCCGCGTGTCATAGCGGTTTACACACACAGGGCGCTCTCCGTATGTATGGAGAGCTCTGAGTTTCAAGAAGCAAAACCGAAAGCTTAAAACTGCAAAGTTGGAGGTCATCACTAGGAGGTTGGGGGCCAATGCAGCAAGGTTTAAAGGCCTTCGTTACTAGGTTGGACAACAGGTAACACACAAGTTGGGGGCCATCACTAGCACATTGCAGTTGATACTCAGGAAGACAGCCAAAGATTTGTCGATCTTTCTATATATTTTATGATATGTTGCTGTTTTTTATTAAAACTAAATGGTCCTCAACTTTTGGAGATTCCATTATTATGAAATGTTGCTGATTCTATTTACAATTGTCTATGATATTCTGATGAATGCTTTATGTTTTTCGTTTGATTTTCAGAGTCCCGATCCGGAGAACGTCCCGGAGAATGTTATTCGCTCTTCCGAAAACCGAAAACCGAAAACCGAATTACGTTTTTGCCATTTTCGCCAAAAAAATGGTCCGGGTACCTCCGGAGACCGCAAGCCGAAGGCCGAATCCCGAAAGCTTGGCCTGGCCCGTGGGGCAGGGGCCCGAAGACCGAAAACCGAAAACCGAATTACGTCTTTGCCATTTTCGCCAAAAAAATGGTCCGGGTACCTCCGAAGACCGAAAGCCGAAGGCCGAATCCCGAAAGCTGGGCCCGGCCCGAGGGGCAGGGGCCCGAAGACCGAAAACCGAAAACCGAATTACGTTTTTGCCATTTTCGCCAAAAAAATGGTCCGGGCACCTCCGAAGACCGAAAGCCGAAGGCCGAATCCCGAAAGCTTGGCCCGGCCCGGCCCGAGGGGCAGGGGCCCGAAGACCGAAAACCGAAAACCGAAAACCGAATTACTGTTTCCGGAGCCCCGAATAACGAAATGTTATTCGCGAAGGACGAATAACGAAACGCGAATACCGAATTACGTTTTCCGGAGCCCCGAATAACGAAAATGTTATTCGCGAAGGACGAATAACGAAACGCGAATACTTATGAGATTTTTCACCAGCCAGAGATTGGAAATCCAATGAATCAATTGTTTGCTGTTTTTTGTTGTTTTTTTGCTGTTTGCATTTGCTGTTTTTTTGCTATCGTTATTTTGTTGCTATTTTTTGGCATTTTGCATTTGCATTTTTTGGTGTTTTTTGGGTATTGTGGATTTGCTGCCTGACGCCTTTGCTGAGGAAAAGTGTTGTATTGTTATTGAGTTGTGGCTTTGGTGGGTGATTTCAACAGTACGTCCTTTGTGTTTGTTGCTAGTTGCCTTAAAGCGCGTTTGCATCCATGTGGTTTGTTCTTTATCTTTGCTCTTCAGTGTAAAGAACATCTGGGAAGGCAACTCTCATTTCGGAGACATTGGGACAGGCTGCCGCCCGGTCATCCCAGACAACCGAAACAACAGGACCTGCATTGGTTGGAAGGATTAGATTAGACAAAAGGAGGGATGGCCAAAACAACGCTTGGTGGAATTGGGGTTCCCTTTGGGAATGGCATAGGGGATGGCAAATTAGAATGGCAAAAAAATGGTAAAAAAATTGCAAATCCTCGAGTTTTTGCTATTTTTTTGCTATTCCTGCAATTTGGTGGTTTACAGAGATTTGCCATTTTTTTGCAATTTCAAAACTTTGGTTGTTTTGGTTGTCAAACAGTGTGCCATTCTTTTGCCATTCTAGATTTTCAGGGTGAGTCAACACCACAGGGGATGCCAGGCAGAGTTTTTGCTTTATGTGGACGGCTGGTGTTGGGTATTCCTGGTAGTAGGGCCACTGCATAGGGCAACTAAGAACTACTACTGAGCATACATTGCATCTATATACAAGGGGGCTACAGGATTATCGCCATAAAGAAAAAGCGTTGCCACAACGAAACGCGAAGACCGAATTACGTTTTCCGGAGCCCCGAATAACGAAAATGCTCTTCGCGAAGGACGAATAACGAAACGCGAAGACCGAATTACGTTTTCCGAAGCTCCGAATAACGAAAATGTTATTCGCGAAGGACGAATAACGAAACGCGAAGACCGAATTACGTTTTCCGGAGCCCCGAATAACGAAAATGTTATTCGCGAAGGACGAATAACGAAACGCGAATACCCAATAGACCAGGTTAGACTATTTTTTGTCTAAGGTCTATTTTGTACAAAAATTGTCTATTAGATAACTTTTTTGTTGCCTAAGACAACATGATTTTTGGCTAAGACAAC